AAAATATGTTATAATGCCTTGGATTTCAAAGCTAAATCCTTTCGAAATCAGTACAAGCGGTATCCTTTCCCCGGTTTGGAAAAGGTAAAACACAGAAATAAACAAAAAATGATGAAACAAGTTTGACTTACTTTGTTCTAAACTGAAGCATGCTGAACTGTTTATAGGAAACCGTGGTTCAGAGCAATTACATAATTCGACTTGCTTGGTTGCCAAACACGACATTTTGCAGGCCTAGATAATCGAGAGGAAAGCAAAAGAATAATTAAATTCACTGCAATTCAAATGGTAACGTTTTCATATTCGAAATAAATGTCACCAATTTATCGGAGGCTTTTCTTCAGGCAGGTCATTTCCTTTGGTTTATACAACACGCCTAGAGTATTTTAAAGTTTATTTTCAGCTTTATATATCTTTTGTTTCTTCTCTTGCTTTTAAGTTACCACCCTTATTACTTCATTGCGGGTTTGTTCTTGTACTTTTTCCTAATGTGTGCGTAAAGAATTAGTTAAAATTAGAAGTAAAGCATAGCAAATCAGAACTTGCCTGACATGAGTAGTTCACGTGATACTTTTGACCGTAGATGTCCATGTGGGAGTCGTAGGCTGATCTGGTTTCATCTAAGCAGCTGTTGTTTAAGTGTGGGTCCACCCTTTTAATGTATCTCTGAGGACAAGGTAAGGACGAGAAAAGGCATAAGTTACTAATCTTCCCGGAATTTTTCACATGGCTAACCGGAGAGTTTCCAGTAGCAGCTTTACAAAGGATCCTGTGTCTTCGTTCTCCTTCGTCATTCTTCGAAACGGTTTCTTTCGTTTATGAATATTATAGACAATCGCTGTTACATTTTGACGTTTTCGGATAACTTCCAGTGGACCTTAGAATAGCAGTAGCCACTAAAATAGCATTATTAAATTTTGTGACAGCTGCCAGTGTTTTATCCACATTGGATGTAAACTTAAAAAGTAAATTCATAATTTTTGATGTAAGTGAAAGGAAAGCATTTAATTTGATCAAGGAAAATCAAGTCAAAAGATAAATTGCACGGTAAATGGTATGGTATTTAACTGAGACAATTCAATTACTTTTCTGATTCCAACCGACGTTGAAAATCCAGTGGGGACACTAAATCCCTCATCAAAAGGAAATGGCATTCTTCCCTGGTCGGTGAGAACCACTCTTACACCAGCCTTGTCTGTCAGACTTGAGTACTCTTTTTGGTTGATAAAGATGTCCATCTCAAGACCTGAAGTATTACCACATGGTCATTTTTAGCTAGGGGCTCTTACACGCCGACAAATAAGTAACCTTTCATCCTTCGCTAGTGTTTGATGAAATGTAATTTTTTTGATTGTGCATATTACATGCTTTCCTCTTTTTCTTGCTTATAACCAGCTCGCTCTTAAATTATTTCAAAGATTTTCTCATTACGCTTGAATAAACTGAAGTTTAATTGGTTGTTTGTAGAAACGACAGTACTTTTTGGCTTTTGGTGGGTATATCAGTTTAAAAGGTATATATTTCGCCTCCCACGCGCCATTACTAGTTCTTCAATCGCGATTGCCTAAAAGTAAGGAGAGACGAGAAAAAGGTGTTGGAATTACTTTGGTTGTGTTCACACTTAATCATTGCAAAGTTGAGAACATTATTTGTTAACTGACCTTTATAAGGTCCAGCAGTATCTGTAGTCATCACTGGAAGCTTCTTGCCATTTGCAGACAGTCCTGAGTTAAACACGTAACAATTTCCATACTTCCAGTGCCAGAAATGCCTCCAGAGCCTCTTAAGACTACTACGAGTTTAAAAAAGGTAAAAAAGTATGAAATTTAGTTTTTGAACAAATGGAAAGAAAGTTTTTGTGAAAAAAAAAAAAAAAACTTCTCGCTTTTGAAGATAAGGATGCTAAAATGATGAAACAAGTTTGACTTACTTTGTTCTAAACTGAAGCATGCTGAACTGTTTATAGGAAACCGTGGTTCAGAGCAATTACATAATTCGACTTGCTTGGTTGCCAAACACGACATTTTGCAGGCCTAGGAATCAATAGAATAATTAAATTCACTGCAATTCAAATGGTAACGTTTTAATATTCGAAATAAGTGTCACCAATTTATCGTAGGCTTTTTTTCAGGCAGGTCATTTCCTTTGGTTTATACAACACGCCTAGAGTATTTTAAAGTTTATTTTCAGCTTTATACATCTTTTGTTTCTTCTCTTGCTTTTAAGTTACCACCCTTATTACTTCATTGCGGGCTTGTTCTTGTACTTTTTCCTAATGTGTGCGTAAAGAATTAGTTAAAATTAAAAGTAAAGCATAGCAAATCAGAACTTGCCTGACATGAGTAGTTCACATGATACTTTTGACCGTAGATGTCCATGTGGGAGTCGTAGGCTGATCTGGTTTCATCTAAGCAGCTGTTGTTTAAGTGTGGGTTCACCCTTTTAATGTATCTCTGAGGACAAGGTAAGGACGAGAAAAGGCATAAGTTACTAATCTTCCTGGAATTTTTCACATGGCTAACCAGAGAGTTTCCAGTGGCAGATTTACAAAGGATCCTGTGTCTTCGTTCTCCTTCGTCATTCTTCGAAACGGTTCCTTTCGTTTATGAATATTATAGACAATTACAATCGCTGTTACATTTTGGCGTTTTCGGATAACTTCCAGTGGACCTTAGAATAGCAGTAGACACTAAAATAGCATTATTAAATTTTGTGACAGCTGCCAGTGTTTTATCCACATTGGATGTAAACTTAAAAAGTAAATTCATAATTTTTGATGTAATTGAAAGGAAAGCATTGGATCAAGGAAAATCAAGTCAAAAGACAAATTGCACGGTAAATGGTATGGTATTTAACTGAGACAATTCAATTACTTTTCTGATTCCAACAGACGTTGAAAATCCAGTGGGAACACTAAATCCCTCATCAAAAGGAAATGGCATTCTTCCCTGGTCGGTGAGAACCACTCTTACACCAGCCTCGTCTGTCAGACTTGAGTACTCTTTTTGGTTGATAAAGATGTCCATCTCAAGACCTGAAGTATTACCACATGGTCATTTTTAGCTAGGGTCGCTTATACGCCGACAAATAAGTAACCTTTCATCCTTAGCTAGTGTTTGATGAAATATAATTTTTTTTAATGTGCATATTACATGCATTCCTCTTTTTCTTGTTTATAACCAGCTCGCTCTTAAATTATTTCAAAGATTTTCTCATTACGCTTGAATAAACTGAAGTTTAATTGTTTGTTTGTAGAAACGACAGTATTTTTTGGCTTTTGGTGGGTATATCACTTTAAAAGGTATATATTTCGCCTCCCACGCGCCATTACTAGTTGTTCAATCGCCGTTGCCTAAAAGTAAGGAGAGACGAGAAAAAGGTATTCGAATTACTTTGGTTGTGTTCACACTCAATCATTGCGAAGTTGAGAACATTATTTTGCGAACTGACCGTTATAAGGTCCAGCAGTATCTGTAGTCATCACTGGAAGCTTCTTGCCATTTGCAGATAATCCTGAGTTAAACACGTAACAATTTCCATACTTCCAGTGCCAGAAATGCCTCCAGAGCCTCTTAAGACTACTACGAGTTTAAAAAAGGTAAAAAAAGTATGAAATTCAGTTTTTGGACAAACGAAAAGAATTTTTTTGTAAAATGAAAAATTACTTCTCGCTTTTGAAGATAAGGATGCTATGAAGTTTTCAGTAGGCTTTTAAATTTATTGTATACTGTTATATGAATTTTTGCATTTGATATGGGAAAATGTAAGTTGTGTTTGCTCCACCCAGTACATCGATTAAGGCCGTTTTTCTCTCCTAATTAATCACAACGTTACATCCCTTTACTGCAAAAATTAGTGATAAGGACATGAAACGTGTTTAACATATTGAGGCACTGAATGAAGTTCTATCGGTGACTCTACCATTGGAACTTAAGCCTTACCCTTCATGACAACTGTAATAAGACCATCGACAGTATTTTATCATCTCATTCAGGCCGTGTCCAAGTGAAATCAGCTCATCTTCTGAAATATTCTTCATTGTCATGTCTAGTAAGGTTTTCTCCAGGGACCCAGTGTCTATTCTTACGTGTGAAAATATCTCCCCGTCTTCGGAGGTTTTCGCCTTGGCCAATATCAATTCCTTTATATTGATTTTCATGGTTTCGACACTTGAATACGTCCTGTTTGTCTTGTTTGATAGCTGACTATTGGACTGATTTGCTTTTTCCTCGAGTCGCCTCTTTTCTATGTTGTTGACTATTTTATCAATTGCACCTTTTTTGGATAGCATATTTCGCCGTAGCATATTTAAGTTGCAAATTGTGACGGTGGGAAAGTCGAGAGACTAAAAGTAAAAAACAAAAATCTTTTAGAACTCAGCTGTAGTATTTTTCATGAACGAAAGAGGATGCTAAAAAGCAACGGGAACTGTCAAGACAGTTCAGTGTGAATGTATTAGTTAAGTTGTTGATAAAGTGTGGGCGATAGGTTCAAATTCGGTTGTGTTCATTAAGCGGTATTAGGCGTGTGATGATTGTAAAGGAGCTAATTGAGAAGGTAGACGATTCCAAGTACCTCCGTGCATTGTGAGTAGTAAGTTACAGGTTTTTATTAACAGGTGCCTTAGGAGCATCCTGGTTGTTTGGTGGCCCAGAAGAATCCGTATTAAAGAGCTCTGGAGACAGGCAGGACAGCGACTGATACAGGAAGAGATAGAACAACGAGTATGGTGATGGATTGGCCACACACTGAATGCAACAGACGAACATGTGGCCAAGAATGCCCTTGAATGGCCCCCACAGGGAAGGAAAAGAGAGAAGCACTCCGACATACATGGAAGTGCACAAGGATGTTAGAACGTGAGGAAAGGACTTAGTTGGCGTAAGGCGTCACTGCTCATAGAGTCACATGGCAAACATTAGTAGAGGATCTGTGTTCCATCGGCAACGAAGCGGTCTGATGATAATGATGATTTGACTTATTTATACGTCTGTTAGAAAAGAATCTTTTAGGTGTTAAATAAAACTTAAGCCACGCACAGATTAGCTCCTCACTGTGACACTTATATGAGCTCGTTTTCGTACCTCTTCAAAGCTCATCTCCATTCTGGATACTACAGGTTTCATCTTGTATCTTACAATCAACTGACAGCACATCAGAAGTAAAACCGCATATAACGCGACCGTAACCACAAGCCACACCATGCGCTTCGGCAAACTCTTTGCAGCGGCTATGTTTGCTACACCATGCGCTGTAGTGGAGGCTGCAAAATGTGACACCAGCCTTCTCAATGATGAAGGACGCTCTTCTTCCTTGTCTTCTGGGCATGAATTTGTATGTTCTTTTGCTTGTTGATTGAACAAATCATTTTTCCTCTCGCAACTACTATCGGCCGCGGTATAATTGACCGCTCCAGGAAGACAACTGAAAGATGAAAAAAAAAAATAAAATAAAATAAAAAACCGAAAAAAAAGATAAAAGACTGTAATTTACGTTGATTCAGCAAGAATTTAAGCATGCTCTGCTTTTTCATACATTTCCTTTTCGGAAGCACATACAGGTCGTTCCTTTCGATGTGGTTTAGCCAAATTCCGATCCATGTTCCTATAATTAACCACTCGCAGACTAAAAAAGAATTACACTTTATCCTACTGGCTTTTGATCTTACAGAAAAGGAGAAACGTTGCTCTGAGATACAGTTTTATGCGCTGATATCGCCTTTTGGCTTTTGAGGGATATCAACTTGAACTGGGTAAATGCTAGTGATAGTGACAGTTCCCAACGTCAAAACATGCCATTCGTCTCTAAACCCTTTAGCGTTCAGAGCCTGCCACCTCCTCAGGGGCTTCGTTTATCGTAAAGAGATAAGCACGAAACGCGAGTGAGTGGTGACTAAGCGCAAGGGATCATGGGAAGGAGAAAGAGGAGAGCCGAAGCACATCTCGCCCGTTTTCCTCTTCGCGCCTTTCTTTGCGCGCATTGAGAGATAGACGTCTGGTTACGAGACAGGTTCAGAGCGATGACTGTTGCTTGACGGAGATCAGGCAAGGAGTCTCAAATTTATCTGACTGTGTTCCAATAAGAGCCTTTGAAATTAAAGACTAAAAAAAACTCAGAATTGTTTTATTTGCAATTTTATGGAAAATCATCTGAGATATGAAATGGATGTGAGATATGTCGTGAGTGCTTCACTTAGGGAGTTCGCCGTCGTAATATGTTGGCAATATTCCATCGCAATGAGTTTTTTTCATAAATAAGTGATCACATTTTTAAAAATTGCCGAGCTCTTATCTTTCGAGACACGTTATAAATTGCCAATAAATATGAAATTACTTAACGTGAAGCGGCACTTTCAATCTTTTCTAAATGAGAAGTTGGAGAGTCAACGAAATGAATATTGAATGACTCAGAGGCCTAAAAATGAGGCCGAATTCGTTTAGAAGAATCACAATGTCCATAATAGTCATTTCGAAGGATCTACAAGAATTTTCTGTAACATCGTCAAGGGCCCGATGAGAACCTCTGGTTTCCAGAAACACGTGCGTTTCCATTTCTTTGCAGAAAATTGATTACCATCAATTTCTTGAGACCATAGACAGATCCTACACTCCTTTCCAATAATGAGCACAAATCAAGCTTATTACTTAGACTTGATCATTTCATTGAGACCTTAATGATAGCGGAGCTCCATGCGCACGCGCGAGCGTAGCCCCATACATAAGACAATGTGGTAATCTACCTATCTTCCTATCAGAGAAATTTTGGTTATCACGGGACCGTACCCCCCCCCCCACTGTCCGCGCCACAGGCATACCAATGTAAAGTAACTCAATCAACAGATATGGCAACCCAGTGAAACTCGAGGTTATTTTGGCGGGAAATCGCATAGCCACCCGCGTCTTGTGAAGTAGAGACAACTAAAGGCGTCAATAAACACGAAAACCGAAAGCGAGAATTGTTTCTGTATCCGTGTTGTCTAAAGTATTAAGCTTATATTAATTATCATGTCCAAAAATTTGGAATATATAGAGAGAGAAAGACAGAGAAAAAGAGAAAGTAGGCGATAGGCCAGCTAAATTCAACGAGAAAAAGAGCGACAGAGAGCTGGAGCGAGAGTTAAAAAACAAAGGATACATTTTTTGCGGGGAGAACAACATGAAAATTTTGTAGCCGCGGTGAGAAAATGAGAAATGCTATCTGCCACCGGGGTGAAGAGCGGCAGTGAAAAAAAAAAGTGAACAAGAACACGTACGACCTTTCCTCCATAAAACATTTAGTCGTGCAAAACAACGGCAAAGAAATGTACAAAAAAAGTGTGCTGCGCGTGCAAACTTGCTTTTTTTCTAATTAGACCTTTGTCGTTTAGCATTGCACAATTTTATATCTTGCTTGAGCAAACTTTAAATACTATCGAGAGCTTTACTTTTAGCCCTGGCTAAATCTATATATTAGCTTTGTATAAATGTCTACTCCAGTTAGTTTTGGTTGGGCAGTGACCAACTCGAAATCCTAAGCTCTACCTTTCGTCATTGCTCACATTTCGCCTTTCATGATTTATGTAATTTATTGTTATATATTTCCTTGCTTTTTAAATATATTGTAATTTTAGTAGTAACCTCTTGAAACAGTGCAAAACAAATTTTAAAAATCTGCAAGCTGAATCTGATACTTACGAAAAATCCTCAGCTGAGATACTTCTAGTGTTAGACCTATCTGCGGCCATCTTTGTAAAGGCAATTTTGCTGCTTACTGTCTTGGTTGTAAAATGAACACAAAAGGATCAGCTCGCATCCTATCCTTATTGCTCTGTTTAAATTACATTTCTTTGTTTTCTTAGTTATTAAACATTACGGGCCAGCAACAAGACAATATCCAATTATAGTTGTGTAAACTAGAGCATCATTCGCGGAGCTCTAGATTAATCAGTTCACCCAGAAGTCACTTCAGCTGTGCTTTAGAGGCAGAGAAGATGTCGTCGCATGTTAATTATTTCTAATCATATCATTTACGAGCTTTGATTGGATAAACTGTTTACCAGGCTTCGCAAGAGTTATGTCGTTTCATATACTTTAGAGACAGCTGCCTAGGCGGTATCTTTTAATACAAGGCAAAAATCCAAATAAACTATGACGAAAACAAAGCTAGCTGCGCCATAACAAGATATTTTTTCTATAATTTTTCTGATTTAGTTATCTACGGACAGCACAAGATATTTAGAAGTGCATGATTTCCCATGGTGTTCAGTGGCCTGAAGACACTATACGAGTCACTGAGCTCACACAAACCGAGGAAAAATCGGCCCAAGGACGAATCGAGGAGAAGTTGACGGGTTCCGTTATGGGCCGACTTCGTTGTGAGAATTTGAGTTAAAGAAAGATATTTACTGGCGGCTGTAAAAATAATTAAAACCTTCTTGTCTATTGGTTAAATTCAGGGCAAAAAATAATTTTCAACCTGCCCTTTTACACCGAGACGAAAAACAGTGAGGCTACCGTGACTTATGCTAGCAATACCTTTAGCAACAAAAACAATGGTCTCTTGAGCAAAAAAAGTAGCGAGTGCAAAACACAGCAGTGGTTATCTTAATAGTACAGGTGCACACGTAAGACAAACAAACATAAAGCACGGGACACACAAACACCAACCCACGGCCAGGCCATTACCTCACGCATGCGCACAGCCATATCACCCGCTCACAGTGGCAGCCACGGACAGCTGTTTCGCTTTTGTTAGGGCTCATCAGCATATAGCCGTCTGGCCTATGAACGGTCAAAGCCGTGTATCAAAGGCTCTTTACTGTCTTAGATGCGCGCGTTGACGAATTATTTGTGCCATCGCTAAATTGCTCCAAGATTTTCAGTACTAAAAATCCCCTGAGGATATAGGTTTTTATTTAATTTGATTGGGAAATTATAAGACGTTCTTAGGTAACGGGATTAAGCAATTATATGTAACTTCCCGAAATTTCTGCCTGAAAAGAACAGCTATAACACTCAAACTACAAAATATTTTAAAAAGCTATCTACCACTTCTGACAAAATGTTGACCCTCTGAGGATTTTCGTAATCCGAATGGATTATTTTTAGCATTTTTAGTCGTGGATGCCATGTTATGAAAAGAACAATTCAACATGTTGAAGAACAAAACCAAATATTGAACCTTTATTGGCCGCATTTTAGGTTGCTTAATTTCCTCTAGTCGTCCTGTTGACAATTTCACTGTGTTAAACAATCGAAAAGAACTATTTGAATAGTTTGAAATTTTGAGACTTCCCGTTAATTCGTCTCTTCCTGAAGACGACACTAGATTGTGCGTTTTGTGTTTTTTTCGGAATAGTCAACAACAACAACAACAACAACAACAATTTATTAAAGTATTTCCATTAACAGGAATAATATGCACTTACATAAAATGACTTTTCTAATAACCCGTCGTTAGCAATGTTACACAAGCTCCGTAGTTCTGGTGACAAAAGTACCTTAGAAAAACTGATTCTAAGTACATTGTAGCCAAAAAAAACGCCCACGAAGTTTGCAAGTGTACACAGAAAGAATAGAAATGTACGTCAGCTTTGTTGTTGTTACTTTTTAAAAAAGAAAATAATCAAGGACACCTCCAAGTATTGAACTTTTTGACGTGTTAACATACACATTTTGAACAATAAGGGAATTAAAGTGAAAACATTTTAGCGCATCTCAGTTTCAATGTGAGGTGTTTTTACTTACGGCATCTTGAAATTCTATCCTCAGTTTCATATTTTCTTTTAAGTTATGAAGTATCGTTAAAATAATTTCGAAGATTGTTACCTATTTAACTTACAACGACGCCATCGGAAAATTAGTTTCCGAATTTGTCCTTAAATCGCGTGGGAAGAAAAAGTAACAAAAATTAAATTATAAATTGTTTGAAATCCTAATTTAACTATATCCTGAGAATAAAATAAAATAAATCATGTATGACGAAATAAGAAAATAAAACCAGAGGAAAAACGTGCTTTGAAGGAGAGAAACACGCATCTTGTCGGTAATTTTAGCGCGAATGACGCCAACTGTATGACGTGTTTTGACTTTACCGTCCGATTCGTTTTCCTTGTGATATGCATGTCAACATTTTATGACCGAGGATGAAGATAAACTTATTCACATCGTTGACACTTGGTTTCAAATTAGCGGCACCTTAAAGGAATACGTATTTGTTCTTTATGGTTTATATATCTGGTTTTTTACCTTATACAGGAATTCATGTGCCTCGGTGTGTTCTTTCATCATAGTAAGTAAGTAGAACAATCATTTGCATCTATTTTTTCTTTAAATTTTTTCTTAAACGTAATGACAAAGAAAGTCCAGTGAAGTGTTTGGTCCAGTAGGCTATTCCCTTATTGGTAACCTTTGTTGAATTCTTTTTATTTTTCGAAATCTGTTAAACTCGCTTATAATCCTAATGATGCAAAATCTTTTGAAATAAGGTAGAGAGTTTGATGATAATTTTGCATTGAGCCCCGGGGTCTCAAAGAAGTTGGAAAACACAAGTCAGCCTTTATAAACAAGTCTGTCGACCCTTTCGTACCCTGCTAGCAGAGTCGCTTTGATCTTTCCTTTCTCTGTAGGCAGGGTAACCCGTTTGCTACTGATAACAATGGCAGGACATTTTTAATACCGAAGTCGATGTAAAGTGGGGGAACTACTGCTTTAAAGATTGTTCACTTAAAACACAGTTGGTGAGATATAAATCAATGTCTTGCTAGATGATTTGTTATTACAAATGATTGAAAAAAGGAACCATAGGTTGTTTTTGAGGTGTTAATGAATATATATTGAAAAAAAAAGCAACACAATCTTCGACCCGAGGACGAATGCAAAAGGATAACAGGCCTTTCTCTGTCAGAGATCACTTATAAAAAATCAAGAAAATGCTAAACAAAGCTTTGTTGGAAGTATATAAACATGCTACATTCCTTTATGTCTTTGCCAATAGATTAGCTTTTTCCACGTAATTCAATACACGGCATGAAGATACCTTTTATTTATAAGAAAAATGTGTTTTCAGTCAGTGACGCAGGCGACTCGGAAGAAATACACCGCAAATATTGCCAATAGGAGTCTTTAGGTTACTACTGCAGATGCTCTACCACTGAACCACAGGAGACTCGTGGGATAAATACAAGTAAGCATCCGTAATTATTTTTAAACCTGATTTTCCTGGGATGCACCAGTAACAAAGCGGCAACCTCTCTGAAAAGGGGTTACTTAACTTACCTAGAAATATTGAAAATTACTCGACTCCAAAGCCTTGTTCACGTTGTTGGTTCTTTTTTATTGACTGATTTCTTCCTCAGTCCACTGTGAAACATCATTGAGGCAAACCTGTGAGAGAATGTGAATGGCTGCTGCTAAATGTTAAAAGGAAGGCGATCGTACTAATGTACAACCGCCATGCCACTACAAGCAGCTGGCAAGCTTTAGCTATGATTATCCAAGATATCAGCATTGATTCCAAGTTTAAAAAAAAAACAGTCAAAGGGTCAGAGGAAAGCGTTTCTAAAGCGAAATATGAATTCGACTTATTATTTTTTGTTATTATTATTTACTGTCATTGTTATGGAACTGAGAAGTCGAGTTTAATAATCCATAATCTTCTAATTTTATTACGATGGCATAAATTTCTATGAATTTGGTTTCGGTAGCCACTGTAGTTCAACTTGCCCAGTTTCATTCCTAGACTTCCTTTTCCTCTAGTTTTCGAAGATGAGGTTTTGATAAAGCTTTGTAGGCTAGCTGTGACCATATCACTTGCGAACTTCCTGACAAGCTGGGCCTGAACCAATTTTAGTAAAAGGCCGTGTTTACGTCTATCTCCGTTTAAGAACCTATTAATATGGCTTGGATTGCAGGCTAGTCGTCATTTCTGTGAGCAGGTCCCGGGGGGGCTACTAACAGAAGACTGCTCCGCGCCAAGATCCAATTCCTTTACCCTTTATATACCATTTTTGAAAGAAAAGGTACCTCTTTCGTAGTTCCATTAAAAAAATGGTATTCTTTCAATGACCAAACAAGGAAATCTTCTTGTGATTTTCGCAAAACGTTTTTATTAAACGAATATAGCCATTAAGTGCATCTTTTCAAAACAGTTTCACTAAAGGGCCTTTCAAATACTGATAGAATTCCCTACCCTTTTATACACCTAAAGCCTAAAAAAGGTACTTTTGGGCGGAGCCTCCCCATTAAGGCCATTATAAGGAATACCCCCCCCCCACCCCTCAGGGAGCAAGCCCCTTGACATGCTTTGATTCTAGAAAGATGTCAGAGCTCTAGATTACAGGTGTTGTTCTACTCTCCCGGCTGCACTTATCTTTGGCACGCACGTCAAAAAACTTCGCAACTTTCTATGCAATTTAGTGAAATCTTGCTTGAGAGTAGAAGAAACTCTTTTCAACAAAACCAGGAATCGTAACTGAGGAGCAGAATAATGCCTTGCTATTATTAACGTGGAACAGAGTATTGATGTGTCTGCGCATTCCTAACTGGGTTGCATGACTATTAAAACCGTTCTCGTACCTTACACTGAGTCAACCAAAGCTAATGCACTTACTTTTTTTGCCTTTACAGCTCAATTTTGATCACAGCTGCACTTCAAAATGCGATATAGAGAAAAAGGATTGATTTTATGGATGTTTGCGCTCCTAGCGCTGGTAGACTCTCAAGGAAATAAGCCTGCGTTGGGATGGAGCCCTTCAATAGGAAAAGGCAAAGAATTTCCTTTAACACGTCATGACCTTGGCCAGCCCTGGTGTAGAATGAAGCAATTTGAACAAACTATTCGCCGGCGCGGATGCGAAGAAAAAACAATTTTAAACAATTTATGCTATGGACAGTGTCGTTCGTTTTACATTCCGTATGGCAGAAAAACCTTTGAATCTTGCTCCACTTGCACTCCCGTTTCTTCTAAGATTAATACTGTAGTGTTAAACTGCCCCCAAAGAAACCCACCAATTCGAGTCGTTAAAAAAGTTAAGATTATAACATACTGTAGTTGCCGTGTATGTGGTAAGAAGTATTCATGAACTGCATGCAGCGGACTGTAACGAGCCACTGAGCAAATTATTGATGTCTCATTAGAACAGCGCTGTATTATATCTGTACTATATGTCCTCAACAAAACACATTTGTACATCACCACAAAACAAACATAAATAGTAAGTTTTTTGAGGGTATTTTCTTAGGGTAAATTAAATCTTGGTTCGGTTGACCCTTGTTACCCCATGAATTATAAGCGTCGTTACTCCATCTGTGTGCGCCAGCTTGTAGGAGATAACTATTCCTAAACATTGTCGGAAAACAAGCAATAGTGTATTTCCCACACTTACACTTTTTGATTGATTTGTTCTATTCCAAAAGAAAGACATGTCTGGGTAATTTCATCTACGACGGGTAACTCACATTTCCATCACGCACCCAGCGGTGGTGTAACAACGGCGCTATACTAGCCAATCCCCTCCCTGTATAAAGGGCCAGTGGCAGATCCAGGGGACTAACCCTTTTATGAGTGAATCGCAACCAGAAACTCATAAGGGGTTCAACCCCTTATGAGTTTCTGTCTCAACTGAATGCATCCCTTGAAAGTATTCAGTCTTTGGAGAAACTTTATCTACTTGTTTGGTATGAAAGACTGGAGTATCTTCATTGCACGTATTTTTTTTCTTTTTCTTTCAACACTTTAAGTATTCAACCCAACTGTATGTTCAATCTCCAGCATGCATAAAAAAAGTTTGTACACGTTTACACGCCAGCGTTAACCCCAAGATATTTATTTTAAGTACAAGTGGTAGGAACATATTGTAATCTTTCACTCGTTCTTGGCGCATATTCGTGAGATATTGCAGTTATTGTTCTACGTTTGCACTAAGTACTACGAGCGACTGGGAAAGTTAATCGTAATATTTGGGGAGAGATAAGAGTAGATCGTTCTGATTATATCAGCTCATTTCCGAGTATTGACGGAAGCCTTTCTAAATTCGTAAGAATTATTCGTAAATCCAGTTTCTATTTATTTACTAAAACCTTGCGAACATTATATTTTTCTCTAGTGAATCTATACTATTTTACTTTTTTTCTGTTTGGGCCTCTACTTACAAAGCTTACCTTATTCGTCTTGATTATGTGTACAAATGAATGTGTGGTAAATAAAGGCACTTCTTCTTCTTCTTGTAGATAAGTTTCTCCCAAGACTGAGTTGATAAGCGCGAACCTTGTTGTACAATTAAAGAATTAGTCGTCATCACCCGAATATAAGTTTATTTTAAAACAAACGTTATTTAGGCTTGATTAAAACCAAATGCTTCTTATTATTCTTTAAAAAATTCTTTCACTTCTCTTCCAAAGACTGAGTGAAGGACTGGGGATGAGTATGAAGTCCGCAAGGTATTATGGTCTTTGTGTTTCACAAGACTTTTGTATCGATCGACCGGTTCTTCCTTCTTGCGACATTCTCTTTCGCTGTTTTCTTCCTTGAATCTCAACGAATAGTCCGATGGAGGTCTTGCGATGCTTTAACTGTGATCATACAGGAAGAAGGCATGAGGATTTCTTCAATATAACTAAGATTCATCCATCTTTTGCGGAGAAAGCGAGAGGGCACGAAACAGGCCAAGACGAATCTGTAAAAGAAAACACTTATCTTGTTTGCTGTGATTGTGTTTACGACCGACTTCAGGAGTGCCAGAGCTGTTTAAAAAAAGCCCCTCTGTGTATGTTTAAAATTGCAGAGTGGTTCGGTGACAAGAAAACTCGCAACTGCATCGATTGTGCAGCAAAGTTTGAGGCTCAAGGGCTATTTCAGACAGGCTATCATTCCAGTGTCATCATTCGCCAGTGCTCAGTTTGTCGACATTTTAAATATTTACCCTCGTTCATCAGCTGGCGTAAGCACAAACCTCACGATACGTTGAAGGATTGCTTCGAGTGCCAACTTCGCCGAGATATCGCACAGTACAAGAGAGAAGTTCGAAATCGATACGAGGAGAAACTTCAACAGGAACCGGCTTTGGGTGATGACAACAAAAGTTTAAGGACAGGTGTTGGCAATGAAACCGTTTCGCAACAGGGAGCAACGTACGCGTCAGTTGTTACAAACGGATTTACAGATACGCAATCATCTGCTTCATCATGCAAAAATGGCCGGATACGAACTAAGGAAACAACACAGCAACTGCAATTGAACGCTATAAATGAAACGGGACTTCACAAGGGAAAATGTATCAGCACCGGCTTAGACGGTAAGCGCAAGTGCATATTATATTTGCAGGTATTTTAGTTTTGACCCCGTGTTCTTGTCTAGATGAGTTCGTTATTTTATGATCAGATAATAGTTGCATCTCAAAACGGTACGTTTCCACTGTTCCTTTTTCAAGCGGAAACAACATACATGTCAGTTGATCCAGAATGGTTTGTCTGGTGATGAAAGTATTTCAGTTTGTTTCTGTTGTCAATCAATATTTATCATTACCAATGCTGATGTTTGAATTAATACATCAACTTAAGTGTCTATTGGTCCCTCAGGTCGCCTTTCCTGTGCTGTGTAATCCATTTATTCTTGTTTATATATTTTTTTTCCGATTTGCTAAAAATGATTACTTTTGTCAGAAACTAGAGACAAAAATTATTTTTTTGAAAGTTGAGTGCAGCGTGCAAAGAAAGTAGTGTCCGATAGCCCGGGGCTAGTGGATTTTGCTATCGGGCTAGTGAATTCTGTTTTTAACTTGCCCGACGGGCAAGTGATATTTTTTTAGGAGTTTGAATAGCAGAAATACTGTAATCAATCCTGCTCATCAAATTTTTTTCGGGCTAGTTGAAATGACTTTCGGGCTAGTACATGTTAGCTACAGCTTGCCCGAATGGCAAGCTGCAAAACTGACTTTCTTTGCACCCTGTGAGTGAGAAAAGCCTGGGATACCGGTATTGTACATAAAAGAGAAAAATGCATGCCTCTTTGCACTTACTATTAACTGTTTTTGATTATTTGATACATTGTTGTGAAAGTTAATTTTACTGTAGTGAACTTGCCAATTTTACATGTACCTGTAAGTCAGATGTGTGTAATTTCGTATCCACATCAGATGAACTCCTGAATGGTGCCGAAGACGTTCTGACCACTTACTAACATTAGTGAAATGCCAAATCTTGGCGCCCCTTTCCGAGATCATGCATATCTATTCTTGGCAAGATTATCGAGATGAGGTATCATAAGATCTTGCCGAGAACACAAATGTCTTGGCAATGTCGCGTTAGTGGTTACGTTAGTGGTTACAGAGCAAGTAGTCTGGAATAGTGAGTTATGCTTGTGAAATTGTCCTGCATGCATGTGATTGATGTTTTTGATCCATGGGCCTGTGAGACATGCATAATTTGCATGTGAGTTGACAGGTATACTGTAGGAATTTTGCTATGTCATGATTATAGTGCAAGCATGACTGAAGCATCATAGCTAGTTTAGAGTGATGGATTAAAATAATCGTACTTTCCTTAATAGTACTTTTTGCCCACTCCCCCGTAACAGTTTTGCACATTTTTGCCCATTATTTAGCTAAAGGAATTTATTTCAGGTGGTTGACCATTAGAGGTTACACATGTACATATTTACCCAGGGGTTATTTTAGTCGTATATTTTGGTAATAAGCATTTCTTGCTCTTAATTATGGGTAGTCCTGTTTTCCCCAGTCAGAAAAATCTTGGTCCCAAATGGAAACAAGTATACAGTATCTTTGATTCAAGTTTAAGGCCCTGTTGGTTTGTTTTTGTTGAGTGGTACCAGAAACCCATAAGGGGTTGAAACGTGTAACTCCCGTTCAATGCTCGTGAATATTCGTTTTGACCATATTTGGAAATCTTAGTGACGGATATCCATTTTCAACAAAATGGCTGCTGCGCGATCACCGTGCAGATGTTTTAAGACAAGAGTTTTGCATTTCAAGGTTAAAAATGCACCGTTAAAAGACAAAAAATGGAAAGAGAAAGTTCAAAAGAATGGTCAGCTTTCTTTTTGTGGAGAAAGGGAAGCTTTTCATCAAGAAATCGTCCTTCGAGGAATTCAACCTTGTTTTCTTCACGGCGGAGCCCGTGGTCTGTTTTGAAATGCAACCAAGTCAGTGAAGTTTTTGCTGAATTTTCAGGTACATTTTGCACTCTATGGCCAAGACAATTACGTTTATGAAAGGGAATCTATGTATTTTTAAATGTTTCATAGACGTTTTATAAATTTTTCTCTTCGGCGCTAAAGAAAAATTACAAAATGTGCCCTGATTTGAGATGGATTTTGTGTTGAATCTTGCCATGTGCTTTAATAGCCGATTTCACTTGCGTGAACGGATCCACGATCCAGATAGTGTTTTCCGAATTGCTTTAAATGATTAACTTTTTGGACTTTGAATAAAAATTTTCAAGAAACGGCTTCTCTGTCTATTGTTTTGAGTTTGTTCATTCATAAAATTAGCTCAAAACACGATCGTGTCTACAACATATAAGGTTAATTTAAACTTTTAAAATGCTTCTCACATTCATTACAAGCATCACTTTTTGCGAAGATGTCAGGTTCAGGTTTTGGACACTTTCGATACGCAGCTAATGAATTTTATTCGAAAATATTTTTCACTGTTTATTTTAGACTTTTAAATTTGCAGTATAAGTTTACCGTGCAGAGGGTCAACGAGGCATCGTTTTTTGAAGTGACAACTTCAAGAAGTTGCGAGGCCGTCAATGGGTTTCATAATGTTACGTTTGGCCCGGGTGGTGAGGCAATAATATCCTGCTCATTGTTTCGGTAATATTCCTGGTTTCAACCTTTGAAAGCTTTCTCGGCTTTGAAAACTTTCCCCCGTTTGTCGGCCATTTTTTTAAGCGGGCGCGGGAACCTGAAGGAAAATTACGTCACGTTGTTTACGAAGTTTGATTGGTCAGTTATCTCTTCTTCTCGTTCCAAATATGGTACTTTCGAAAATGAATAATCACGAGCATCGGACAAAGAAAACATATGAGAGTTACACGTTTCAACCCCTTATGAGTTTCTGGTGGTACTTATTCTTGGGTAATGCAAGTCCTGGTTAAAATTTACCAATCCTAAGGTTTGTTACCATCTGCCTAAACTATGAAGTAACTGGTTTTGCGTATGTAACTGTTTAACAATCATAATGTTTTAAGAACAAAAATAAAGTAAAATAATAATAAATAAAAATAAAGTAGTTGAATATTGATTTTGTGGGGATAAATTTACAGTTAGTACAGGTAAAAGACAAATACAGGGTTTCTGATCTTTTGCGCAGTCACGGAGCCGCAAAATTCAGGTAAATCCGCGAAATCCCGCTAAATTCACAAAAACACGAAAAATACCGTGAAATTCAGTAGAAATCTTATCATACATGTCTGTACAACATATTTGAAACTTATTTCAGCTATAGGGGCTATTATTTTACTTGCCGTAAACTTGCAAATTTGTCTTGGAACTTCGTCACTGAAACGTGCAAACAACGTCCCGAAACTACCAGGCATAGATTTTGTTGCGAAAAACTGGGCACTAGCTATGATGTTAAAGGCTTTGCCATTGGTTCATTTCTGGAGCATATTGTTGTTGAAAGAGCAAATGATAACCTCTGTGAAAAAAACTTTAAAAATGCTGGTCAGGAAGCAAAACCGATCAATTTCTAGCAAAATTTGCCTTGAAAATAATCATAAAATTGGCTGTTTTTTACTGATTGCTTTTTGGTGAAGTTTGCCCTGAAAACTCCCACGAAATCGCCTGATTTTTCCGCGAATTTGTCCCTAAAAATCCCGCGAAATTTGACTGTTTCTTGCACGCCCTATCAAAAGCCCTGCAAATACAACAATCATTTTTGTTATGTAATTTTTGCCGAAGGTTTTTGCTAGTTTCATGCCCTCCCTCTTTTTGACATTGTACTGCAGAATCATTCTGTGCAAAGGTGCTTCAAGCTCTCAAAACTTCATTTAGCCAGTTGGAGGAAAAAACCAAACTAGAACTTCAGCTTCTCCAATCTAACCCTCAATTCTGGAACACTGCACTGCGAGATAAACTTCTCCGAGTTTCCCAGCTGTTTTCCAGTCAGGCAACAGACCAGATCCATTTCAATGATGCTGAGTCTCGCTGGGCCTATCTTGGTACCTATACAGCAGCCCATGCCACCCTTGTGCAAGCCACCTTCACTTCAGGTCGATTTGAACCTTTGACAGAGTTCATAAAAAACAGTCACAGTAAAGAAAGGTCAGTAGTTAGTAATGGTAACGGGACTGAGTGGAGTCCAATTCGGTCTGTAATCACACGAGTGATTAAACAAATCGGACGACCGCTTAGCGGGAGTCTGATTTGTTTAATCACGAGTATGATTACAGACCGAATTGGACGACACGAAGTTCTGTTACCAATTAATCATAACTTAAACAAAATTTGTGATATATTACAAAAATAAGCTATTTTTTAAATCAAAACGTAAGAAATTCGAAATTTTGTTTCGCTAGCAGTGAAAAAAAAAGCCATTTAAGAGCGCACGTGATGGCACGTACTGTCCAGTTACTTAGGCATGACGCGTACTGTGCTATTAAACTGTCCAATTAAGGCTGAAATCAGGGCAGTTGATAGCCAATCAGATTTGACAATTTTGTTATAGTTATGATTACAAAAGTAAAAGGTGAACACTACAGAATTCTCTCAATAGTGAAGTGGATTATGCATTTCATTTTCCTAATTCTTATTTACTGGGTATAGCGATTTATCCTTTGAACATTGCTTCCCAACTTTTCAACAAGTTGATAAATTACTGAAGTTTTAGCTACTTTATGCTCTTAATGTACATGTACAAAAAACATGAATTAGGCATATCATACAAAAGCCAAATCCAATAATTTTTTTGAATTTTTCATTCAAAATATTTCAGACATAAAAAGATGCTTACCACAATCAATGCAAAGTTCTTGTCTTCAATTGACTACATGTATGCCTCTGCAAATTGAGATTATAATAATTATTATTAAAGGAATGTTTAGTCAGCAGATGTCAAATAGCATCAATAATAATAACATTATCAACAAACATCAAGTGGTACATATATTGTATTTTAGCTATTTTGCTATTGTGATGTTTTTAGGGAGTAGTTTGACCATATCTTCCTTGCAAAATGTTAAACATTCACCGTTTGCAAGCTCTACCAAAACAACGTAGGTACCCTGTCTTTTGCAGTCCCTTTTCCTGTCAATCTTCTGTTTTATTGTAGGTCAGTATCTGAAAATGTCATCCAAATTTGTTAAACAGTAGCTGATTATGAGAAAAAAGCTAGGGGATTGAGCCAATCAGAAACAGAGAAATCTTTTGAGTTAATGATTACAGCCTTAATGAAGTTGGTTAACTTTGGTGTTTATTACATTAATTTTGCAAATCGATTCTTAGCAAAGCTGAATATTTTCTTAGTGATACTAAGTATGTTGTGCTGTTATAGCCAAATTCATTGTACTGCGCTGAGTTTTTTGCAAACTTCGAAGGAATTTTGGATTTTTCTGTTCCGTCAATCATCTTAGCGGACCTCGTAGGAAACACATGTTTACTTGCGATTGGTGTATTTTGATCCACTTTGTTTGTTTCTGTGTTTCAACTTTCGCTGCTTGTGATCGCCCTGTTTCGCGCAAGATTGACTATGTTTCTTCGAAGCTTTTTATGATCTTTGTTATTCTTGTCTCTTGCAAGAATAAAGCAATGTCTGCCTCCTGCCCTCAACAAAAATTCTACTCATCATCGTGATTTCCTTCGCTATTCTTGAGCCATTTAGGGTCATTCTCAGGCCAAGCTGGGCGAGTGCGTTGCATTATGATTTGCATTAACTCCACCCCCACTCAAATGATTGACAGAACAGAAAAACCCATTCGAAGTTTTGAAACATGCCTTGCGATACAACGAATTTGGCTATAAGTACATTGTACCAAGAATATCTGTTGCATTTATAGAAAGGAAAATTCAGGAGGCCTAAACAAGGAAGGGCAAAATACTTGGCTGTCAAGAACAGTGAAATCTTAAGAACACTTTCTAGTATTTAGCAGTGGTAGTAGTAGTAGTCATTGTCGTCATGGTCAATACCGCCTCCACCTTTGTTGTTATCATTATCTTCACTTAATTTTTATGCAAATTAAAGAGCAGCTTGAGAGTTTTGGCACTAGTATTTAGTAGAAATCCACTTTCACTCTCCCTACTTTGTAGGTTACATGTCTGCTGTCTTGGTGCGGGTCCTGGCAGTGAAATTCTAGGTCTTCATCAACTTTTTCCATCGAACACTGAGTGGATGCTTTTGGATAATTGTGAGCAATGGTATTACACAGCACAGATTCTACTGCATGATGTGTGTGATGTACCCTTCCGTTATGGTACTTTTGATATTTCTAATGGTCATGGGCGGAGCAATGTAGGAGACCTGGGATTAACAGCTAACTATGCTTTTAAAAAGGTGAGTGTTCCTTCTCTGGTAGTAGTGGCTTGTGGGGGATTTCCGTAAGTCAGTTTTGAAGCCTTTGCCTGCTACAGCTGTATCAAAATTGTTTAATACCGTAAAACTCTGAAAATAGGCCCCTCCATGTATAAGTCCCTCCAAGTATAAGCCCCCCAAATGGGTAACGCAAAAAACCCTCCAAATATAAGCCCCCTGGGGGGCTTGTACTTGGAAAATTGCCCTCAAATACAAAGTAAAACAAAGCAAAAACAGTAAATTTACTTCCAACTACATGGCTAGCCCAATCAATTTTGAAAGGCAAATTTCCCTCCGTAGATAAGCCCCTCCGAATATAAGCCCCTCCAAAAATAAGCCCCTCAAAAAGGGCCTTTGAAAGATATAAGCCCCGGGGCTTATTTTCGGAATTTTACGGTACATTCCGAAAAAGAGAATTTGGTCGACCTCTCAAATAATGGATAGAGTACTGCGTACAGTGACCGCAAAGGTCACGGTTTCATTCCCAGTCAAGCCTGAATTTGTTCAGGTTCTTTTTCAACTGCTTAGTTTGTTTATTCAACTGCGAGGATCATAGTCACTTTCAGCTTTAACATAACCATGAACCTGATAGAGGGTACATTAATTACTTTTTCCCTTTACTGATTTCAAGCCAAGTTACTCCTGTTGTCCAGACTTTTATGTTGTAAAATTGTTGATTGCTTAAGCCTCAAAACCACCAAATAAATTACAGTGTCACACATAACTTTTGAAAAAGAATAGAGTGCAAGTCATTAATATGCTCTTTTTTCCCTTTCACCAGGCCAAGTTATTTCTCTTGTCAAAGTTTGTCTCTGCTGTTCAGAATCTTCCTGGAGCATTCAAATATCTTTTAGACATTCTCAAGAGAGCTGCACCAGGCACCTTGTTTCTCTTTGTGGACAATGCTCACATCCAAACAAAAACATTTATCGAAGATTTGGTGTTTCCTTCAAGAGACAGCAAAGAATGTGAGGAGTACAAGGAAAATGAATCGTTTAGGCTGTACACTACTTATGCTGAATTAAACTCTGATCGTGAAGAGGGCTTGAAGTCTCTGGCAGTGTGCGAGTGGGTCAGTCTAATCAGTTATTGGTTGGACAGACATCCTATATTGGACCTAAGGGTCAATGTACATTTGGCAGTAAAAAAGAGGTGAAAAGTTGTGGGGTAACAAACACAAAAAGAACAAAAACAAAAAACAAAAACAAAAATTGGAAGAAAACACCAGAGATATTATATTATTATGTGGAATATTGTTATATTGTTTTAGCTCTTCACTGACTTATTTTATTTTTAAAAGGTTTTGGTTTTTATATTAACTACATTTGCTGGTGGAACCAAGTAGAAAAGAAAGATGCATGTATATGTATTATGTGTATGTCTTTTGTGTCTTGTACTGGCAAGAATATTGGCCAAAGCGGAAAATACCATAATATTCTTTAAACTGCCATTTGGGTTGTGCTTCATGTAAAGTATATTTTGTTCTGTACATGAAATGCATGTGAAATGTATGCAAATTTATGTGAAGCTGATGCATTGCACGTGCAAATTGTGCAAAGAAGAAAAGATATTGCAAGTGCCTGGTTTACATGGAGTACCAAGCAAACGAGATTTTAAACATTGAATTATGGTATTTTCTTCTTTGGCCAATTATTTCATTTATGGTCAGAAAAAAAAATCCAAAGTAGAACTGACCAAAAAAGAACCATTTTAAATTTATGTGGATGCAAAAATCAATTTTATTTATAATACCAGGGTTAACAGTAGTGCCCTTAGAAAGGGACATTAGATTTAAAGCTACTAAATAAAGCTACATGTGTGAATAAAAAAAGCTTTGATAACGAAATGGTGTGATGATCAGTCAAATCTGTTTACAACATTGTAGGTACACCATGTAATATCATAGGTGACAAATTACTCCTTTATTTTGGCGCGAAATTTCAGTGTTTGTTTATACTTTCACATGTGAAATTACAAAATCAGTGCCAAGATGGCGCAAGGTTTTAAAACGTTATGAATGAAGATGTCAGGACATTAAAAGACGCTATAGAAAACCTAAACACAGGAAAGAACGCATCAAAAAGGATTCTATCAGGTATTTTGTTTAAAAATTCCGAAAATTATGAACTTGAAGCCAAAACTTAAGCTCTAACATACTTTCAGTGATTTAGCAGTGATGAATGTATAACATCAGGAGCCATAATCGGGGTAGGAGATCGTAACTGGATACCTTCTTCAGTAATGGGGTTGGTCCCATCGAAAAAAGCCAAATATGTCATGCATCAGTCAATTCCACCTGCGCCCACACCCGCCTCCCCGCCCCCCCGGGTGGAATTGACTGATGCATTATTTTTAGTGTTTTCGTGTGATAAGCGCGCGCATTTTTTGCTAGGCTCGGTACAGATGGTCCAAGTTCGACTCTCGGCCTAGCTGTTTTTCCTTTGTTGTATATAATTTTATCCTTTTGTTTTTGTATGTTTTTAAAATCATATTCTCCCCCTTGCCTTGTCTCCCTTTATTCTTACTGCTGGCCCATCACAGCTCCCGGAGGTTTTTGCGATAAACTTATTTCTAGTAATGTTTATTTAACATTGGCTCATTCCTCCGCTGTGCTTACATTGTTTATCGAGATATTTGAAAACACTTGGAAAAGTTAAGAGAGCACTTAAATAAAGTCGCAAGACGATCACCCATCTCCTGAAATTCCACACGAGAGCGACGCAAATTTGCTTGTTCCCGCGCGAGTTTTTGACGTTGAGGGTGGCGCAGTTTGTTCTAAAAATAGTCCTTATGGCTATTTCGATGGAACCGCGTGGACCATACGCTTGAGGTTTCCATCCCCGATTATGGCTCCTGGTAAAATTCATAGGGAGAAAATCTGAGGGCTACTCCCTGACGAAAGAGGCTGGGGTTAGGGTTGCTCGGTGAATAATTATACAATAAAGTGATTGATAAGGTACAGTTCTACCTTCGTTCAATCCTTGCGATCTACTCTCAAGATCGTCGCCGAGCAGTCTCGTTTTGTTTCAGAAACCTCGTCAAAATCACCGTTTTTATTTGTGAACAAAACCTCTATCCGATAGGGTTTCGCGCCGACGCAAGAGGTTTCTGGTATATTGTAGACAAACTGCCTGAACCAAGACCAAAAGTCAATATTCCATATTGATGAGCCTGTCGAGAATCATTCTTCACAGAAAGCACGCCGTTATATCAAATTAGGCATCTATTGACCCCAAATGTTCAGAAGCTCAGAAACCAAAACTGATTATTAATGATAAAAATGATTTTCGTTTCAAAATTTGCGTTATGATCCGAAAAGTTATCGGACCTTTCGAGAAACGGGCCCCTGGTCCTCTTCTTTTACCAGTATTCTTAATTCTCTTTCCTATCAAATGCCACAAAAAACCTCACTTTTACACTAGAAATACAAGTCAGTGGCAGTGAGAGACAAAGCAGAATTTTAAAAACTTGTCGAATTATTGGTGAACATTTTCTATAAGAAACTACAAAATACGGTACTGTAACTTGACCTGGATGCATATCTTATAGGACACTTGTGCAGTTGACCCGTTCAATTCAAAGTAACTTTTGAGTGCGGGACTTAAGCGTTAGTAAATTTCTGCTTCTTAGTTTTGCTTTGCCATGTTGTTTTCATTAACCCTATAACTCTAAAATTTCTTACCCGGCCAAAAGTTGGTAGTCGGAAAGAAAAGTACATGTTTCAAACATTTTGACAAGAAATAAGACGCTATTGTTCCCTGTCCCTATTGATTTTTTGTGCATGTTTTCGTCGAGGCTTGCGGGGGAAGCTACCCGTTACTTTTCCTTTACCCGGTACTATATGAGTAAATATGCGTTTACCCAAACGCGTTTTTATTTATGAGAACACGTTGTTCTTGGGAATTTTTACCCGCTGTTCTGAAAACCAATTAGGATTAACAATATAATAGTGTTTCTTTCTGTCTTCAGTGGGGTGGAAGAAACAGGTGTCGCGAACATAACGTACATTCTTCGAGTGCTTGGACAACAACGTGCTGGGCCTTGGGGCCACTCTCTCCAGTACCTGCTCCCCATTTTTGCTAGTAAAGTGTGACGCCATGGTTTCGAGATCCCGAGCTAATGCTGGCCCCACAAACCACTTTGTAAATGTTCGAGGCTGCTTGTTACTTACAGAAAGAGTGATGAGTGCCGGTAACGGTGACTGCGGATCCAACATATGGTTGATTTGATTTTGTTTAAGTTGCGATAAACTTGAATGATTCTTTAGCTGAACTTTTTTCGCATTGCACTAGGCGTGTGGTGATGAAACTCCCAGCTTCTGTAGCACTTGATCGTCTGTCAAATTCTTCTTGGGTGAGGCATTTTCCGAGGATCGGGTAGTAAGCATTGTGGTTAAGTCGCCGGAACATTTTGGTCTTAAATCAGTTAAATACGTTTCTCTGAAAGATTCTCTTTTATCAGAAGAATACATCAGCCGACGTAAATTTTCATTCTCTACACGAGATGAGTTTTGTTCAATATATTTTCCCTCGGCATCCGGGACATAGCTTAACATTCGCGCCGCAAACGGTGGCCTTAGATGCGTTGGTCTGGCTGCGGCTCCATACGATATGTACCTACTGGCTGTTGCAGGGCAGCGAGGTTCACTCCATGGGTGCTTTGGTACCTGACTGTATAGCAAGGGTTCCTGGGAGTTGCAGTATCTTGTGGTGTATTCGGTTTGAAATGATTTGGTGTCGAACCTGTCGAAGTATGCTTTATATCCAGGATACAAAAGTTCCATATTTGAGGTTACTAGAGCTAGCTGAATGCTGTTGAGAAACAGTTCTTGATTCCAAGGTGGAAAATTAAATTGACGTTATAGCTGCGTTGGTCACCAGTACCACAGAAATGATTATGGACTGTAACGTTTAACTAAGTGACTTTCTTCGGTAATTCACTATAAACAGGCAACTTTGGACTTCGTTTCAAGCCCCTGAGGCTAGCTAACAAGCCAGTTTTTAACCGCATTCGCCATCCTTATAGCATGTACTTACACAAGAAACGTTGTTTTTTGAGGTTATTTCATGTAGCAGTGTTTTCTGAATGATTTAATTGTAAACGAAGCTAGTTGCTATGGATTTATGACCAGCTATGTGCGTTCTTAATTTATCTAATAAATTTTTAATGGCAAAACGTCTAGATGAACAATGCTCTCAGTCATATACTTCGACAACCTGCAATGACACGACTAACCAGATATTATAATAGAAACTAATCACACATATGGCCTCACCATGGTACATCTATACCCACTGGGTAAAGAATTTTGTTCTGTTTTTTTTTTACTTCAGTGGAAAACGGTTTTGCCATTGACGTAAAATCTAAAGGGACCAAAAATACACTGTTATTTATTTTCTTCTTTACGTTGCAATTTTAAGAATTTTTTCAGTTTTACATACACTCAGATGATCAAACGATAGAAAGACTCCCGTAGAGAATATTAACCCATTGCCCTGCTGAGTGTTCTTCAATGGAAAAAAGCTGATCATAAAATCAATCAGTCTTTATAATGATGGACAACATTGAAGGAGGGGAGTTGAAATGCCATCCTGAATTCGACATTTTTTTTATAGAGGACCTGGTTTCTTGAAAATTAGCATCGCCAGTCATCATCAGCCAGTCATCAGCATCGCCAGTCATCAGAACGCGTGTCCCGGTTAACTAATCATTCACCACCTATTGCTCTTCGTTTGGCTTTTCTTTGTTTCCTTCTCTTTGATGTCTACCTACTTTTTGTCCGTCAACCAGTGGGATATGTTGCATTTTGTATGTTTCCATTGCAGCATCTAGGTCACCCACTGCAACCTTTAAGGGAAAAGCCCTATTCTTTGGGATCCAATCAGCAACGGGTAAAATTCTCGAAGATGCCTGTCAGTTGGTATAGCACGAATGACATCAGAGTTATCGCGGTGGTGGTAACACAGCCCTGGCTATAAATTTCCTTTCTTTCCACTGAAGAGATAAAGAGGTCATCATAATGTTTTGATTTTAAAAATCACCCAAAAGTGTCTTCTTTTAGCGGAAAATACTAGTTTAAAACTAACTGACTTAGAAGAAGGTCTGTAAAGGTTAGTAGAAAGTCAAATCTGCCAACAGAAAACTCAAGTTTGACTTGAACGGTTCAGCAGGTTTTCCTAAATAAAACATGAATAAATATAACTCCCCCTGTCACTTTCTGCGGGTGATTACTCATCATGTCGGATACCGTAAACTTCTGATTATAAACTCTGGGCTTATACAACTTTGTAAGGGGTTATCGGCGGAGGTGAGGGAGGGGGAGAGGGGGAGAGGCTTATTACCGGACTGAAAAAAAGGTTTTCATAACAAGTTATATAGCAGCGCTGATCAAAATGCTTTTTGAATTTGATCGCTTTTTTAAGGTTCAAAAAGTCGTAAAAAGTCGAATCAATTTCACTGCCCAGTAAAGGGGGCTTATATTGGGGAGCCCTATAATC